GCAGCTTAGCAGGAACTTTCAGTGTGTACAAAGCAAAGATGCCCAGGGAAAGATGTCAGACAAAAATGTTCTAGTAGCATCTGCACTGAACAAGATGAGATGTTTGTGGAGTAGATTACCCCTGAGGTTATCATAGTTCTATCTTTCTAATCCTTTACAAAGACTAAAAAGATAGTTCAAAATTCAGAGACAAGCAAATGAAATGTGAAAGTGCTGGATTGCAGTGTTATTTTCTGCTAACATGGCCACACTGGCTAAAAATAATAGAAGTCCAGCATTACTGAAGAGGACCAGTCTAAAGAATAATGGTTATTCTAAAACTAAAATAGATGGTACTTTTATGCTGAGCTGAGCGGGGTAAGCAGACAATGCCTCTCATCCTTCATCATCAACTGTGAAAGTTGCAAGAACGATATTTATAGACAACCTTTAGATTTTGCTTATCAACTACAAATTCATAATTCTTGACAAGAAGTTACAGATGATACTCTGAGGAAGAGTTTCCCCTACAAAGAGATCCAATCTGCTCATATTATACCGTGTAAGAGGAGACATCGATGCTGTCCACGTACTGCTTGATACTACCCAGATTCTCATCCTCCTTGCCAATGTGGTCATAAAGGAAATGTACCAGATCTTCATCACATTCATAGCTCCATGTGGGTGGCACAAACCTAGAAAGCAGTGATGGTAGTCAGTAGCACAGAAGGAGCATTGAGGGGGGGATAGTCAAAAACAGTAATCTATTTATTCCTCCATTCTTAGTCATGTTTTTCATTTCCTCATTCCATAATACATCTTCCAGTGTGTTACTTCAGTCAGCTTTATACCAAAGAACTGTTTCCATTGGTGGTGGATGCCAAAGCCTAACTCAACTCCGTAGGTCAAATCGCTATTCGCAAAGTAATGGCACTGACTAACCCAAGCAACCAGTACCCACCCACACCAAATAAAATAAAATTACCGGAGTCTTTCTACAGCAGCCACATCTGGCTCCATGATTTTTGGCTTTGTTCCAAGATGCAAGGAATATGTTAAATCTACCACCTGTTCCCATCTGGAATAAAAAAAATGCAAAAAAATTATAAACATCAACTCCAGGTTAGAGAAACTGATTGGCTTCTAGGAAAAGTTCTAAGAAAAAGTTATGAGAACAAATCAATATGGACGAATATGTAGCCATTTGTGGAAGGTGTAACAACATTACATTTCTAATCCATTTTGTTATACAATCTTTGCTGTTATACAAATTTATCAGATCCATAATTAATCAACAAATGTGAAACAATTTTTAAAGACAAATGATTCACTAACTAGCATTCGGCAAATGTTATTTTAAAAATGGGCATACCTACATGATTAAGAAAAAAAATAGCCTCTCTCCAGAATCTTCTTTTTGTGCCACACATTTTCTTCTGAGAATGCTGACAACCAAGAGATTCATGGACAAATAACATATATTGCTTACATTCACATTTGCAGTATCCTCCATGAGTCCTCCAAAGCCAACCAAGCAGAAGTGAGATTCTGTACCTGATCACTGGTTTAAAATCCATCCCAAAGAGCTGTTGCTGCCTCTGAATCCTCTCCATAGATTCCACTGGTACCAGCCTGTCTCCACTATCTGCATGCTTACACATAAGAATCCAGCCTTCCTCCAGGTCACAACCAGTCTTGTATTCCTGAAGTTGCTCCTATATGGTTAGAACACAAAGTTACATGAGCAGTAAAGTCTAAGTTGATAAAAAAGAGGCTTCATTACTATAGTACAAATATATAGAATTTAAATATGCAAGATCTTTGCACTGTTTGTGCAGCTCCAATTAAATCCTTATGTGTTAATACCACTTTATAATGCCTTGGTAAGGCCACACTTGGAATACTACATTCAGTTTTGGTCACTANGAGATTAGAACCACTGAACTGCAGATAACAGTCAGCTGAAGTGGCCTGCAGTACTGCACCCTAACCACTGCGCCACCTCATGGTTAAAAAAAAGAGAGAATTGAGTATCCCCCCCCTCCCATAGCATAATATTTCTTCTTTTACATACACAGCCTGACCATTTGCTGCCATGCTAGAGCTGCAAAAATCCAGGTAACCACTTGATAGTAGCAAAGAGCTGCAATGCTCTTAATTGTTTCCTGCTTACAAACTATAATTTAATGAATTAATTGGTCTAAAACTTAACCCTGGGTTAATGATAGACTGAGCTAGTAAGTTAAGGATTAATTGTCATAAAAGATTCATAAAATATTTTTTCCAGTCCTATTACAGAAGTGCATAGTCAGATTCATATAGCATTGTTATATAAAGTTGCAAGTTCATTTCTTGATATAACCTCTTGGAGATCTTTTTTCAATCTAGCAGATCTGAGTTGAAAAAACACAGACAATTGTGAAATGGCTGCCAAGAGAATCAAGATTTATACAGTTCAGTTTTGATACCCAAATTTTACATATATTTTTAGCAAGCCTTAAACCACAGGGGTTTGGAATTCTGGATCAATGATCTGATGCAGAATTCAGTCAAGTTCTACCACATAGAGACTATGGGTATGTTTCTAGTTGCTATGATTAGGTTATATTAGGTTATATCTAAAAATTCCTTGATTTCTGCAATATTTGTTCTTAGCTTGTTCTTAACAACTTAGATTCATTATTAGTCCATCTCCATCTATCATATGAGTGTTGCAACTATCTGACTATTAAATTATAGGCACTGATAAACTTACTTCTTTAAGAACATGTAAATTGTAATCATGTCCACCCTCATCGGGAAGAACAGTTGCAGGAACTGGGTATGTCTAGTTTAATGAACAGAAGGACTAGGAGTGACATCATAACAGTGTTCCAATATCTCAGGGGCTGCCACAAAGAAGAAGGAGTCAAGCTATTCTCCAAAGCACCTGAGGGTGGAACAAGAAGCAATGGGTGGAAACTAATCAAGGAGAGAAGCAACTTAGAACTAAGCAGAAATTTCTTGACAGACCAGTTCATCAGTGGAACAACTTCCCTCTAGAATTTGTAAATGCCCCAACACTGGAAGTTTTTAAGAAGATGTTGAATAACCATTTGTCTGAAGTGGTGTAGGATTTCCTG